CACCAGACCCATTATTTGGAAAATTCCGTTTCTTTGCAAAGTGAGACACTGCAATTTCGTTCACCCAGTTTTTCGGGATATGGTTTGCGGTCTTCGTTTGATTGTGCCCCAGGGCCCGCAGATGCTAATGGATTTCCCGCATCTTCAGTACCATTTGGTCTTGGCAGCGACGGGGTCAAACGTCTCGAAATGGAAAGCTTGGCCATCTGGCACTTTCAGGCATGGGTGCGGCTGACCCTTCTCCCCTCTTTCGGATCAAGGTCACACTCAAACCCTCCGTCGAAGTCGAGTCAAATGCGGCACATCGGAAGACCATCACGTGGTGAGTCGATCAAGCGAGAACGCCAGCAGAGCCGCTAGTGAGTGCGCATGCGCTTGAAGCAGGGCCGGCTCGCGTCGCCGTCATGGCGGCGGCGGCTAATAGGAGGAGAAGGAGGAGGAGAAGGAGGAGGAGGAGGAGTTGGAGGAGGGGGGGAAATTTGGAATCCAAATCGGAATCGAAACAGTTGCCAGGCAACATAAGTTCCAACAAAGAATATACAGCGAGTGTCACTATACTAACTGCTTGAGGCTTCCACATCGAAAGAACTTGTCGAGATATTCGCGACGCCTCCGCGTCATCAGCTCAGGATGGTCTTTCTTGGCCAGGGCCTTCAGCAGAGAACGAATAGCTTGCAAGATCGAATCTAGAACCTTCAAAACCAGGGATCCATTCAGAACGCTGTTCCAGGCAACCTCGTGGACGGCTTTCGTACTGGTTCCGTTTTCTTGTTGTTGTCGTTCTAGGGACAGTTGCGGGACCGGTCTCAATTCCAGAGGTGCACCAAAGCGTTGTTTGGGTGGATAGATCATGTTGCCTTCGTTATGGAACCAAAGCGAAGCAATAACCCAAAACGTTGGTTTGGTAGCCCCCTGCTCGAAAACACAACCTTGCCCGCGAAGGCCGCGCAAGGATCTCGACACATTCCTGCATGGGGGTCGGCTTTGATTCAGCATCGGCGTTGGTATATCCGTGGTCGAAAACAGGCGAACGTGCTTATTCCGTTTAATACCGCCTAATCCAGTTTTATCTTGCTCTGGATCTGGCCTCATTTGGCTCAATGGCCACCCTGATCGGGTTTGTTCGCGAAGGCCGCCCAGGGAGCTACCCGCTTGATGTTTGTTCGTGTGTACTATGTACTCCGGATTCCACAATAAAGTGGTGGGGGTCACATTTGGGGGGGGTCTGATTTGAGCTGTCTTGAGGGTTCGGGGGGGGGTCTGGGCAAAGGGCCGCTCTTTCGCGGATGGTCTGGGGGGGGTCTAAAACTTCTCGTCTGAGAGGGTTGTGACCCCCTCCCCTTTCTTACGAAATCTGGAGTACCTCTCCTTCTCCTTCGCTCACCTGTAACCATCTCGGTCCTGGTATTGACGCACACTGGAGAGAGGACCGTCCCCCCCGGAGGGAGACCTCATCGCCACCGGCTCTATCCTACTGACCCCTGGGTGGATGAATTCGGCTCCTTGGCCCTTTTCCCCCGTCCCCCCGTGGGCCGCTGAGAAGGAGGGAGGGGATCAGGGAGTCGTCGGTGGAGGAGGGAGGAGGAGGAAGAGGAGGAGCAGCAGAGGGAAAAGCACTCGTGGTGACACAGTCGGCAGCTTCAGGCTTCGAGGGGGAAGAACAGAGGGAGGACGACGCAGAGCAGGAGGAGGAGGAGGAGGAGGAGGAGGGCGAAGGGAGGAGGAGCCACCAGAGGTCTCCAAGGTCCCGGGAGGCCCCAGGGAGGCTTCCAGGAGGCTTCTTTGAGGCCATCCTTGATCATTGGATGCCAGATTTCTGATCGCGAAAGACGAGATTGGTCGCTACCGATTTTGCTTCAAATTCTGGTATCGGTCGCGACGGGTCGCGACCGATGTTGGAATTTGCCGCGATTGGTCGCGACCGATTTGGAGTGCCGATCGGTCGCTGCGGATCGCAATCGAAAAAATATGGTACCTAATGATCTGGGTCGGGGAGCCGGGGATCAGAGGAGGATCAGATAGCAATATTGTTGCCCCTCCTTCGTCGCCATGGCTGGATTCGCCTCGAAATCCTGGTCAGAACAAACCACAGAAAAGCTCGGTGAACTACGGATATCAGTACCTTGTTTGTTCCCAGGGGAGCGCGGGGAGCCCAGGGCGGACGGGGCTAGGACGAGGACAAATCCTTCCTAGAGTGTTCCAGAACGCTCTCAGAATGTTCCGGAACACTCTGAGAAGGCCGCGGTGCCGGATAAATCGTACAAAGCCGCCCGATCTGAGAGATCATCGATGTAGTTTGACCCTTATGTATCCTCGTCCTGGATTCGTCTTACGGGGAGTTTGGTCATGGTCCATGTCCACCGTCGCCGATTCGCAAGGATGGCCCACAAATCGACGCTGGCCAAGATCGACGGTGACCAAGATCGACGCGACGATTCCGCGCTCACTCATGGTCATGGTTCCCCTTTTGTGTCCTCGTCTTAGATTCGTCTTACGGGGAGCTGCCCACCTGTCTGCCACGCGCAGAAGGGGGTAGGGGGAGGGGGAAAGCTTCTTAGAAGCAGCCTCCTGCTAAGAAGCCTTCCACCCTCCCCCTACACCCCTGTGCGCGCCGCCACAGCAAGCAAACGATCCATAGTAGATCCGCAAGGACGGCCCCGAAGCGATATCCGCACTCCTCCGCGCGAGTGCCAGAGGCCGCGGCGGCGCGGGACGCGCAGCCCAACTGGCGAGCCAGACCGCGTCGGTCTGGAAGGAGGGAAGTGGTATTTTTGGATGCGCATGTTGAAACACATGATACACTTCTTTCCACTTTGTACAGCCCCCTTGTGCGCGCCGCCAAGCCTGGCCCCAGCCCTTCTTCTAGGAAGCCTTCCCCCTCCCCCTACGGCCTACGGCGAGGGCGTTGGTCAAGCAATGTGCCCAGGAGGCTTCAGACCCTGGAGGACTCCTTATCTTGTGAGGGCGGTGGTGATATTAAGTCGGGCCTGTCCCTCTACAGGGGGAATTTTCAAGAATAATGAAAAAATAGTCTGGGAACGATTTTTCCAGCATTTGTTTACCATGTTTGAGCATTTCCCACTATTTCCAATTTTTCGTCCAAAATCCGCCTGTAGGGGGATATGCCCGGCCCAATTGTGGTATCCATGGCCGATCCAGGATTGGAGTGCCACCAGCTTCCAGACCCTGGGTTCCTGATCCACTTGTTCCTGATCCGATGCTCTCCCCCCCCTCCTCCCTCCTCCCTCCTCCCTCCTCCCTCCTCCACCCTCCCTCCTCCCTCCTCCCTCCTCCCTCCGCCCTCCTTCCTCCTCCCTCCTCCCTCCTCCCTCCTCCCTCCTCCCTCCTCCCTCCCCCCCTCCTCCCCCCTCGTGCGCGCCGCCATGCCAGGCCCCAGGCCCTCCCCCCCGGGGCGCGCGAGCGGGCGGGGCGTCTTCCTCCGAGGTGGCCGCGCAGCAGCCGGCCCCGCAGGCGCGCAGCGGCCGCGCGCAGGGCGCCCTGCGCCCTGCGCGCGCCGTCAGTCGTTCGCCGGTCGAGGCTCCCGGACTCGGAGGCGACGATCCCAGACATGCTCGCGTCGTGCAAAAGTCAGGACGGAAGGTTTTCGCCGTGAGGGGCCTCGCGAGGCCGTCAAAAAAGGGCTCGGGAGGAAACACCGGTCCTGGGGAAAGGTTCGGGGGACCGCGACGGTAGGGGCGAATATCAGACGAGGACAGTACCGATACCGCTACCATTCCCTGGTATTCCCCTTTCTGGGCCTCTTGGGAGTCTCTCGTCGCCACGGCCGGATTCGCCTTGGAATTCTGGTCAGAACGCACCCGAGGAGAGGCCCGGGGAGTAGCAGCATCGGCACCTTTTGGCTCTCCCAGAATAGTTGGCCCAGGGGCGGGCATGACACGTATCTGGCCGGGAGCCTCGACGAAGGCATGGATTATCGGCGCCCTTGGATACATGCATGTCTCTCCCCTGGGCTTAAACGGGCATGTCCCTCTACAAGAGGAGTGTTCAAAAATAGTCAAAAGATAATTAGTCAGGGGGGTCGTTTGGGAGCATTTTGGGGTAGTTTTGGATATGGGATATGTTTTATTTTTCGTCCTCAATCCGCCTGTAGGGGGACATGCCCGAACTAACCCTGGGCCATTCGCCCCCCGCGCCGGGCGCCCTGCGCCAGATGCGCCGTCGTCGTTCGTCGGCCGGCGCCAGATGCGCCGTCGTCGGTCGTCGGCCGGCGCTCCCGTCATTGGGCGTAATACAGCCCCTCACCCTTGAATAACACAGAGAATTCGTGGCCGAAATTGGGTGCACTTGTTTCCAGGGATAACCCTACAGGGAGTTCAACAAAAACTAGGTCGGCATGCCCGGGCTCAGCCTCGCGGACCTACTCCAAAACCATAGTTATATAAACCCTTGTTTTGTTCCACGCCCTGCTGTCATCGCGCAAATGATACTCGAAAACCTAATTTTTTAAATTGTCACGGCGATATTCCTCCAGATATTCCTCCGGATTTTCTTCCAGATCTTCACAGGTCACTGAATCTTCACGTAAATCTTCGCCCAGGCCCGTAAATCTTCACCCAGGGCTCTAATTTTTCCCCCAGAGCCCGACATCTTCACTAAATCTTCACCCCGGGCCCTAAATCTTCACATAAATCTGCGCCCGGCGACGACGACGGCGACGAAGAGGACGACGACGAAGGCGAAAGCGGCGACGGCGACGGCGACGGCGACGGCGACGGCGACGGCGACGGCGACGGCGACGGCGACGGCGACGGCGACGACGACGACGACGACGACGACGACGACGACGACGACGACGACGACGACGACGACGGCGGCGGCGGCGGCGGCGGCGGCGGCGGCGGCGGCGGCGGAACCGACGGCGACAGCGACGGCGATGGCGAGCGACGACGACGAGGATGCCGACGACGGCGTCGGCGACAGCGAGGACGAAGACGATGGCGGCGGCGACGACGGCGATGACGAGCGGCGAAGGGCGGCAGCAGGCCGTGCCCTCCCCGCTCGCCGCGGGCCCCCGCGGTGGCGGCTGGTCGCCCGCGGCCTACGGCAGGGCAGGCCCGGGCGCCCGCTGCGACGTCGCGGTGCTCGAGGCCCCTCGCCGCCTTCCTGCCGACTCGCCGCCGCCGCTGCCAGCTCGGCGACTCGCCGCCGCCGTCGCAGCCGGCTCGTCGCCGCCCTCACCGTCGCCAGCGCCTCGGTCGTGTCGTCGGCGGTCGGTTGCAGCGCCGCCGCCGCCGTCGTCGTCGGCGCCGTCGCCGGCCGGCCTCGTCGTCGCCGCCTCCGCCGCCGGCCCGTCGTCTTCGACGCCGCCGTCGCCGCCAGAGGCGGCTCGCGTCGACGTCGCGGGCTCCGTCGTCGCTGCCGCCAGAGAGCCGGGGGGGCAGGAGGCAGGGGGAGGAGCAGCAGCAGCGTTGTAGGTGGGGGAAGCGCTCCCCCGCGGAAGCCCCGCGGGAGGCGCCTGTGGACCCGAACGAGTTGGTGGAGCACGTGCTGCGCTCGCAGCCCGTGCTGATGCGCGGCGAGGCGGCCGCCTACAAGTTCCGCAAGAGGTTCCGCAAGGAGCGGGCCGATCTCACGTGGCTGCTGTCTCAAAGAAACAAAGATGGCATCAGCAAAACTGTTTTGGAGTTCCGCACGGATTTCTCAGATCTGCGCTGGACCCCCACGGCGGCGCCTCCAGCGCTGCCCCTGCGCCATGGATGTGGGTCCGGCGCCGATTCAGGAAATCTCGCGGACCTCCGAAAGTTGATGTTTGTGCCGTGCGTTGTTCTTCAAGGAGCGATCTCGCGTGGCTGCTGTCTCGAATGATAAAACACTGCATGCACATGCAATGTCGGAGTTCCGCGCGGACATCCGAAAGTTCATTATGCCGTTTGTTGTTCCTCCATTGCCGGCTCGGCTTTGCCCCCCATCTTGCCGTGGCCTGGCCGCAATTCGGAGGCGGGACAGTTGGGCGATTGCAGTCTCAAGAGCGTCCTGGACAGGCTGAACGGCCCCCCCAGAGGCAGGAGAAGAAGGCGCTGAGAAAAGCAGGAGGCGCAGGAAAAGTAGGAGGAGGAGGGAGGAGGATTGGATGAGGAATAGCCAGGGGAGATTCTAAAGGAAGGAATGAAGAGGAGGAGGAGGGAATGTGGTGGAAGGACGGAGGAATGGAACACGAATAGGATTTACTTCAAGAAGTCGTAGCGATAGCAGCCGCAGCCGATGCCATTACCAGCGCCCGCAAATTTGCATTCATGCCTCCGAAAATTTGAGACTGGTCGACTTGCGTCTATGGACAATTGGCGATGCTCTGCTTTTCGACGCACTCGAGGCACGCCCGCTTCCTACGCTCCAGCGGCCCATCTCGATCTCTGGAACCCACAGAAGACAACCCGCGGCGCGAAATCCAGGCTAAAGTTTGGCCGAGAACTTGTTGGGCCTTCGAGAGCGGTCGCGCCGCATCGCCGATGCATCGGCGATGCGGTTCGATGTGGAGACTGATTTGATCAACGCCGACGTCGCCGATGCATCGCCGTCATCGCCGATGCATCGATGATGCATCGACGATGTGGCGCGATCCTGCGACCCCATCTGCTCCGACCCCCTCTGGGAGACCTCCAGGGGCGCTCGAGATGTCGAGGCCCCATCCGGCCTGCACAGGGGCCCGCCTCCATTCCAGGGCTCTCGCTGCGGCGGCGGCCCCATGCCGACAGAGGCCCACATCCCACATCCGAGGAGTGTGCCACCTACGGTCGGGCCGAGGTATTCGATCGAGGCTCGGGGAGGGTACCCTAATGTTCTGCGTGCTTGTTGGATGTTCTTGTGCCTCCTGTGGGAGGGTGCGCTCGAGTGTTGTTCAGTCTGGCCGTCAGACGGTCCCACGTTCTTGAAGGATGCTCTTCTGTCCCAGGTCCGAGCATAGTCATTCGGGCATGTGCGCAAGAGTGGCCCTACAACGGGTTGGCCTCTGGTGCGGGCCCACAGGCTCCCCCCCCTCCCTTGGCTTGCGCGCGTGGATCTGGGCGCTCCCCGCGGCCCCCCTCATAGGGGAACAAACAATGACATAAACATAATCTGAGGCAGCAGCCTGGAATGGGGATTCCCCGCTGCAATGTCTCGGCGGAGAACCGCCAGCAACGCGTCCTCCTTCTCCTCCCTCCAGGCCCTCCATCTCCCCATCGTGCTATCGGACCTGCATCTGCAGCCCGTTGAATTACGACCAGCCCTGTATCCTCCTCGTCGTCGTCGTCTTCCTCCTCCTCCTCCTCCTGGCCGTTCTGCCCATCATCCTCTTCCCACCCCCTCTCTTCCTCCTCTTCCTCTCCCTCCTCCTCTTCCCCGTGCTCCGTTCCTCCTGCTCCTCGGGCGGTCGCGCGGTCGGGCTGAAATGTGTCGCCTGGTTGCGGTTGCGCCCGCGGGCGGGTGGAAATGTGTCGTCTGGTTGCGGCTGCGGTTGCACCGGCAGGCGGGTTGAATTGTGTCGCCTGGTTGCGGTTGTGGTCACATTTGCGGTTGCGCCCGCGGGCGGGTTGAAATGTGTCGTTTGGTTGTGGCTGCGGTTGCGCCCGCGGGCGGGTTGAAATGTGTCGCATGGTTGCGGTTGCGGCTGCGATTGCGGAGGCGGGCGGATCACATTGCGTTGCTTGGTTACGGTTGCGGTGGCGCCCGCAGGCGTGTTGAAATGCGTCTCTCGGTTGCGGTTGCGGTTGCGGTTGCGGTTGCGCCCGCGGGCGGGTTGAAATGTGTCGTTTGGTTGCAGATGCGGTTTCGCTCGCGAACAGGTTGAACTGTATCGCTTGGTTGCGGTTGCAGTTGCGCCCGCGGGCGGGTTGAAATGTGTCGCTTGGTTGCGGTTGCGGTGGCGGAGACGCCCGCGGGCGGGTTGAAATGTGCTGTTTGGTTGCGGTTGCGGTAGCGGTTACGCCCGCGGGCGGGTCGAGATGTATCGCTCGGTTGCGGTTACGGGTTGGCCCACGGGCGGGTTGAAATTTGTCGCATGGAAAGGTTGCGGTGGCGGAGAAGCCCGCGGGCGGGTTGAAATGTGTTGTTTGGTTGCGGTTGCGGTTGCGGTTGCGCCCGCGGGCGGGTCGAAATGTGTCGCTTGTTTGCGGTTACGGTTTCGCCCGCGGGCGGGTTGAAATGTGTCGATTGGTTGCGGTTGCGCGTACGCCTACAGGCGGGTTGAAATGCGTCGTTTGGTTGCGGTTGCGGTTGTGGTTGCGCGGGTTGTTGATATGTGTTGCCTGGTTGCGGTTGCGCCCGCGGGCGGGTCGAAATGTGAAATGTGTCGCTTGGTTGCGGTTGCGGTTGCGCCCGCGGGCGGGTTGAAATGTGTCGTTTGGTTGCGGTTGCGGTTGCGCCAGCGGGCGGTTTGAAACGTGTCATTTGGTTGCGGTTGCGGTTGCGCCCGCGGGCGGGTTGAAATGCGTCGTTTGGTTGCGGTTGCGGTTGCGCCCGCGGGCGGGTTGAAATGTGTCGCTTGGTTGCGGTTGCGGTTGCGCCCGCGGGCGGGTTGAAATGTGTCGCTTGGTTGCGGTTGCGGTTGCGCCCGCGGGGGGATTAAAATGTGTCGCATGGTTGCGGTTGTAAAGTGCGTCCGCGAGCGGGTTAAAATGTGTCGCTTGGTTGCGTATGCGGTTGCGCCCGCGGGCGGGTTTTGCGGTTGCGGGTGCGCCTGGGCGGTTGGAAATGTGGTGTGGAAAGTGCACCTCCCGTTCAGTCACTGCAGTTCAATTCAGTTTACTCGGTCAGTCAGTGGAGGGCACGGAATTTCACCTGGGTTCGCCAGGAAAAATTCGGAGGTCCGCGCGGAGTTCTCGACCACGCACCAGAGGTCATTCTTGGGTGTAGGCGACTTATCTGTCTGCCTGACCGATTCTGTCGGTCCGGTCAAGGGCCTCGGATCGATGCGCAGATGCCTCACCGGCCAGGCCAGAAGGGATTACACACCGATCGGTGGGATGGGCGGTTGACGCCCCCCGGAGGGGAGAAGCCCGCGCCCGCGAGGAGACTTTCCTTAAGAGGCACGGCCGCAGGAGCATCAAGGTCCATGGGCCACACAAAATGTGTGTGAGGTGTGTGTGTGTGTGTGGTGTGTGTGGTGTGTGTAGTGTGTGTGATGTGCGTGGTGTCTGTGTGTGCGTGTCCGCGTCTGTGTCTGTGTCTGTGTTTCTGTCGTTGTCAATGTCTGTGTCTGTGGCTGTGTGCGTTTGCATGTGCGTGCGCGTGCGTGCGTGCGTGTGTGTCTCTGTGTGTGGGCGTGGGCGTGGGCGTGGACGTGGACGTGGGCATATGCGTGTGTGTGTGGTGTGTGTGTGTTTGTGTGTTTGTGTGTTTGTGTGTTTGTGTGTTTGTGTGGTTGTGTGGTTGTGTAGTTGTGTGGTTGTGTGTGTGGTTGTGTGTGTGGTTGTGTGTTTGTGTGTTTGTGTGTTTGTGTGTTGATGTGTTTGTGTGTTTGTGTGTTTGTGTGTTTGTGTGTTTGTGTGTTTGTGTGTTTGTGTGTTTGTGTGTTTGTGTGTTTGTGTGTTTGTGTGTTTGTGTGTTTGTGTGTTTGTGTGTTTGTGTGTTTGTGTGTTTGTGTGTTTGTGTGTTTGTGTGTTTGTGTGTTTGTGTGGTTGTGTGGTTGTGTGGTTTGTGTGTTTGTGTGGTTGTGTGGTTGTGTGGTTGTGTGTGTTGTGTGGTGTGTTGTGTGTGTGTGTGTTGTGTGTTGTGTGGTTGTGTGCGTGCGTGCGTGCGTGCGTGCGTGCGTGTGTGTGTGGTTTGTGTGCGTGTGTGCGTGTGTGCGCGTGTGCGTGTGTGCGTGTGTGCGTGTGTGCGTGTGTGCGTGCGTGCGTGTGGGTGCATGGGTGCGTGTGTGCGTGTGTGCGTGTGTGCGTGTGTGCGTGTGTGTGTGTGCGTGTGTGCGTGTGCGTGTGTGTGCGTGTGTGCGTGTGTGCGTGTGTGTGTGTGTGTGCGTGTGTGCGTGCGTGTGTGCGTGTGTGCGTGTGTGCGTGTGTGCGTGTGTGCGTGTGTGCGTGTGCGTGTGTGCGTGTGTGCGCGTGTGTGCGTGTGCGCGTGCGCGTGTGTGTGTGTGGTTGTGCGTGCCTGCGTGTGTGCGTGTGTGTGCGCATACGTGCGTGCGTGCTTGCGCGCCTGCGTGCGTGCGTGCGCCCGCGAGGAGACCTTCCTGAAGAGGCACGGGCGCAAATTGTGTGTGTGGTGTGTGTGGTGTGTGTGGTGTGTGTGCGTGCGACCGGAAGAGGTGCGCTCTCGACCCGCGAATCAAAAAAGTGTGTGTGTGAGTGTGCGTGTGTGTGCGTGCGCGTGTGTGCGTGCGCGTGCGTGCGTGCGCGTGTGTGGGTGTGCGCGTGTGCGCGTGTGCGCGTGTGCGCGTGTGCGCGTGTGCGCGTGTGCTCGTGTGCGTGTGCGTGTGTGCGTGTGAATGTGTGTGTTTGTGTGCGCGCGCGTGCGTGCGCGCGCGCGTGCGCGCGTACGTGCGTGCTTGCGTGCGGGTGTGTGTGTGCGTATGTGTGTGTGTGCGTGCATGCGTGTTTGTGTGTGGTGTGTGTGGCGTGTGTGTTGTGCGTGTGTGGTGTGTGTGTGGTATGTGTGGTGTGTGTGTGTGTGCGCGTGTGTGTGTGTGTGCGTGTGTGTGCGTGCGAACGTGCGCGCGTGTGTGTGTGTGTGTGTGTGCGTGTGTGTATGTGCGTGTTTTTGCGTGTGCGCGTGTGTGTGTTCGCCTGCGTGCGTGCGTGCGTGCGTGAGTGCGTGCGTGCGTGCGTGCGAGCGCGCGCGCGCGCATGTGAGTGTGCGTGCGTGCGTGCGTGCGTGCGTGTGTGTGTGTTTGTGTGTTGTGTGTTGTGTGTGTTGTGTGTTGTGTGCGTGCGCATGCGTGCGTGCGTGCGCGCGTGTGTGTGTGTGTGTTTCTGTGGGTGCTTGTGTTTGTGTATGTGTGTGCGTGCACCGTGGCCTGATTCGCGTTCGATAGGCCTACCAACGCTCTATCCGCCAGCACAGTCCCTCTGCCTAGCCGCCGACGTTAGAAAACGTGTGTGCGTGCGCGTACATCCATGCGCGGTCGTGCGCGTGTGATTGCGATTGTGTGTGTGCGTGCGTGCGCGGGCGTGCGCTCGTGCGCGTGAGTGTGTGTGCGTGTGTGTATATATATAATATGTGTGCGTGCGCCTGCGTGTGTGTGTGTGCGCTGGGTGTGGATGGTGTGTATGCGTGTGTGTGTGCGTGTGCGTGTGCGTGTGCGTGTGTATGATTGTGTGTGCGTGTGCGTTTTCATGTGCGCATGTGTGTGTGTGTGTCGATCCCGCCTCGCCGATGCGCGCGAGGCCGCGACCACCAAAGATGCGTGTGTGTGTGTGTGCGTGTGCGTGAGGTTGTGTGTGCTTGTGTGTGTTGCATGTGCGTGTGCGTGTGCGTCCGTGCGTGCGCGCGCACGTGCGTGCGCGTGTGCGTGTGTGCGTGTGCGTGTGCGCGTGCGTGCGTGCGTGCGAGCGTGCGCGTGCGCGTGCCTGTGCGCGAGCGCGTGCTCGCGCGTGTGCGCGTGCGCGGGCGTGCGTGCGCGTGCGTGTGCGTGTGTGCATGTGTGCCTGTGTGCGTGCGCGTGCGTGCGTGCGCGTGTGTGTGAGTGTGTGCGCGAGACTATGACTGTGTGAGCGCGTGCGTGCGTTCGTGCGCGTGTGTGTAGGTGTTGTTACGTGTGTGTAGTGAGTGTGTGTAGTGTGTGTGGTGTGTGTGTGTGTGTGTCGCGTGCCTCTGCGTGTGCGTGTGTGTGTGTGCGCGCGCGTGTGTGTATGTGTGTGATTGTGTACGTGCGTGCGTGTGTGGTGTGTACGCGTGTGCGTGTGTGCGTGCGTGCGCGCGTGCGCCCGCGAGAAGGCCTCAAGCGACACGGGTGCATGAGCACCATGGTCCGTGGGCCACGCAAAGTGTGCGTGTGTGTGTGTCGAAGGTGTGTTTGCGTGTGTGCGTGTGGTGTTTGTGGTGTGTGTACGCGTGTGGTGTGTGATTTGTGTGGTGTGTGGTGGGCATGGTTCTTGTGAGTGTGTGTGTGCGTGCGTGCGTGCGTGGTTGTGTGTGTCTGTGTGTGTGTCTGTGTGTCTGTGTGTGTCTTTGACTTTACGTGCTTGTGTGTGTGTGTGTGCGTGTGTGTATGCGCGTGCGTGAACGTGCGTGTGGGTGCGCGCGCGTGCGGATGTGTGTGTGTGTGTTTGCGTTTGCGTGCGTTTGCGCGTTCCCGAGTGCGCGTGTGATTGTAAGTGTGTCTGCGCGCGGTTGCGTTCGTGCGCGTGTGTGTGTGTGTGTGCGCGTGGTGTGATGTAGTTGTGTGTCTGTCTGTGTCTTTGTCTGTGTCTGTGTCTGTGTCTGTGTGCGTGCGTGCGCACGTGCGTGCGTGCGTGCGTGCGCGTGTGGCGTGTGCATGTGTGCGTGCGTGCGTGCGGGTGCCCGCAAGGAGACCTTCATGAAGCGACACGGGCGCAGGAACATCATGGATGCACTGCTCCCACTTGAGCTCGCTCAGGGAAGAATGTGCAATCAGGTTCACAATAGCAGAAAGAAGTGGAACCAAACGGAGACATCCCCCGACGGGCCAGGGCGATTTGGAGTGACGCACCAGGGCAGCGAGGTCACGGCGGCGACGAAGCTTGTCCAGGCCAGGGCTCGCCCGAGCTGGTGGCACATCAGGGCAGCGGGGCTGGCCGGTGCTTGCGACGCATCAACACCGAGTCAGCGGTGGCGAAACCAACGCTTGGCTGCCCAGCGAATTGCCCCCCAAGAAAAACCCACGGCGGCGAAAGCTACAGTCAAGGCGCTGAAAGGAGGACCACTTTGGGCTGAGGAGGGGCTCTGGCTTCCAGGCCAGGACTGGCCCTGGGCATGGGCTTCACCAGTCCAACGAGGGCTAGTGACGCACCATTGCGGCGGCGAAAGAAGTACCGGACGCGCAGGGTATTATTGCACAACGTTGGTAAGAGTTCGCCAGTGCGCGCATTGATCGGAAATCTCGGACAACATTTGACCTAAACCTCACTGTGTACGCTCGGGTTGACTTGCGTATGGGCGCCCCAGAATCGGGCGCGTGCGCAACTCGATCCGCTCGCGCGCATTGCAAAGCGACCAAAAGCAGCAGTCCAGTGCGGAGTCCCGAGCTGCTGTGTCAGCAGCGTGGCCCGTCGGCATTTCGCTGCGTCGCCAAAGTCGCGGTTGCAGCACTGCGGGGCGCTGGTCGGACTGACACGGCGTCGGGCGGGAGGCGGGAGTTGGCGCGGGCGTCCTCATTGCGCCCACGAGGGGCCTCGGCGGGGGCCCTACACCTGCCCTTTCTACGTTTACATGCGCTTGCACAAGACTAGTGTTGCTTCGCGCCATGCAGCTTGACCAGTCCCCGCGTGCAGACGGACTGAGAAAGACAGAGACGAGCGAGGAGAAGAAGACAAAGGAGAAGAATGTGTCGGTGTTCCTGTTTTCGTTATCGTCATTATCTTCTTGCTTATGTTAGCTCTTCTCGTGTAGTGTGACCATTATCGGCTTCCCCTTTCCAAGAAGCCGTTCCTGTCTTCATGTTCACATCTTATGATGCGGGGGATCAATTTAGGAGGGTCTCTCGAGGGCCTCCCAAAAATTGTTTGGGGCCTCCTGGGCGCGCTTTGGGGGCTCACTGGGGGCTCGGAGCTTACTGGAGCCTCGCTGCCAACCCCGTGATGGTGTGCACATTTGATCCCGAGGCCAGGGGGGGCCCGCGGATGTGGCGTTGCCCAGGTCAGCACGGTGCCCTACGGCTCTCAGTTCGGCTTGGCGAGCGATGTCGAGATGACGTTGGCAGAGTTCGTGTCGGGCTTCAACGGCTCCGCGGCTGGCGGTGCCCCTCGCTACGCGTTCACGAACACGTTCGCGGACGAGCATCCCGAGATCCGCAAGGATCCAGGGAGGGAGGGCGACAGGGGGAGCAGGGGAGGAGAGAGCGGCTGGAGGCCGCCGGGAGGAGGGGGAGAACGTGCCCCCTCGGTGTTGGGAGGACGAGGAGGCAGTGGCGTACGGGGCGCGAAAACGACCGCAGCCACTGTTTTTTTTTGCTGCCGCCTTCCAGCCAGCAGAAACAAAGCATTGGTTGTGGTCATTTTCGTTAAGCTTGGCACCAGGGAAATCACCACGACCACTGCTTCTTTTTCGGCCGGCTGGAAGGTGGCGCCAACAAGAAGCAGTGGCTGTGGTCATTTTCCCGTCCCGCAGTGGCAGGGGCTGCGAAGGGGGGAAGCAGACAGGAGATGGTGGGAGCAGCTGACGGCGAGCGCCTGCGCTTCGTCGAAAGCGTGCCCCGCACCTCGTCCCACGTGACGGCTCCTTCTCATCGGCAGGGGCTGCGCGCTTGGGCCACACGCGCCGTCCGCAGCGGCTGCGGAGCGTGCCGGTTCGCCGGCTTTGGCCCACCGCGTGTCGCTTGGCATCGCTCGGACGTGTGCGTTTTTCCTCGGCGAGGACCATCGAGGAGCATCCTTGATCAGTTGGCGAAAAAACATGCACGATACCGAAAAAAACACAGAAAATTGACGTCCGAGCGATGGCCAGTTCGCGCCTCGCGCAGGACTTCGACGCCCTGCCGGGCGTCGCGCAGGGCGCCAGCATCAACGGCGGCGGCTTCCGGGCCCCCTGGAGCGGTCGGAATTCTTGTGTCGGTTCGGCAGCGAATCACGGGAGCCTTGCGTTCGGAGGAGGAAGAGGTACCTATGCCGCTACCTGTACTTCGTGTTTCCCTTTTGGGGCCTCCTCGGAGGCCCTCGTCGCCACCGTTGGATTCGCCTCGAAGCTTTGATCAGAACGCGCCCCTGGAGGTCTGGAGAGTAGCGGTAGGGGTTCCCTCCACCCCTTTGTGCGCGTTGCCAAAGTGTGTCGTTCCGCCGGCTCTGGCCCACCACGCCTCAGTGCGACGCGTTGTACACTTCGCGGTCCAGAGGCGCCCGTTGAGTGCTCTCAGCGCGAGGGGAAGGATCGCCTACACGCAAGAGTGACCCGTCGCTGCAGTGGCCGTTGGTTCGGGCCCGCGGGGGTCCCCCGATCGCCGAACGCGATGCGATCGTAGCGTCTTGCGCGCTTGTGTTTGGCCCCCCCGCGGCCCCCCAAAATGCCGCGCACCAAAGGTCTCTTACCCAGGGCCACTCCTGCGTGTAGCCGAAAGGAGGAGCAGCAGAGAGACGAATTGATGATCAGTGTATGTGTACATCGGTCGTGTTTACTTGTTCCCGAGGGGAGGGGGGGCTGGCTCTTGGGAAGGATTCACCACATTTTGTCTCTGCTCGTTCAGCTCGTAAGCTTCGTGCAGCCATCCTGGAGCCACGAGCAACGAGAAGCAGACGGAGGCTCGCAACGAGCAGAGTCATATATGGACGACGTACGGAGGAGGAGGAGGAGGAGGAGGAGGAGGAGAGGACCAGTGTAAACCCAAGAGTCATCAACGATGTTGGAGTAAACCCTCCCTCCAAGCTCCCTCTTCAGAGGCCCCTACAACGGTTCATTTCCATTGAGGGAACTGCCTCGTTGGGAGACAACCGTTTGAAGACCCTGAAGCACGCCAAAACATTTTTCTTTGGAGTCCAACGCCACGGATCAACCTGACCGTTGCGTTTTAACGAGCCTGAATCATACCAGAACGGCATTCCTGAGACGTCAACACCGCGAATCGACGTAATTGCTGCACCCGCATTTTCCTGGACCCTTCCAAACACCATGTCTGGTACGCCGATCATGGGAATCCGTGAAACTCCTGCAATTTTTATCCACGGATGTGCGCGGCGCTAAGGCGGGAGCCACACTTTGAAAAGGAACCGCCCTGAATCCGTGAAACTCTTGCAACTGTTTAAAACGAATGTGCGCGGCGCTAAGGCGAGAGCCACATTTTGAAAAGGAGCCGCCCTCAATCAGTGAAACTCTTGCAAGTGTTTAAAACGAATGCGCGCGGCGCTAAGGCGAGACCTACATTTTGAAAACAGGTCGGCCTCAATCCGTGAAAGTTCTGTCATGTTTTAAACGAATGTGCGCGGTGCCATGGCCAGAGCCATATTTTGAAAACCGTCCGCCTTCCATCTGTGAAACGTTTGCCAGTTTTTGAGTCATGAGTGGTGAGGAAGTCTCAGGCGAAACGCCCAGACGCCTCGAAAATTGGCCTCGGAGTGCGACAGGGAGAAGATATTTACAAGGAGAAAGAATGGAGGAGGAGGACGAGGGAGGAGGGAGGAGGAGGATGGAGGAGGAGGGGGAGGAGGAGAAAAGGAGGAGGAGGAGGAGGAGAGAGGAGGACCCCCTCGCGAGGTGACGGCCCACCAATTCTTCCTGGGGCCGCCGGACTCCGGGGCCTCCATGCACTTCCACCAGGACGCCCTCAACGCGCTGGCGTACGGCCGAAAGTGCTACGCTCTTCCTGCTTCTCCTCCTCCTCCTCCTCCTCCTCCTCCTCCTCCTCCTCCTCCTCCGCGTCCTCCTTCTCCTCCTCCTCCTCCTCCTCCTCCTCCTCCTCCTCCTCATCCTCCTTCTCGGCCTTCTCATGCGCACATGAGAACAACCAATACAACAAACATTGTCGTATCGATTTGTTCAGGACGTCGGCGATCGAGGAATCCAGGAGGAGGAGGGGGAGGAGGAGGAGAACGAGCGGATTGGGGAGGAGGGAGGAGGAGAAGGAGGAGGAGAGGAGGAGGAGGGAGAGGGGCGAGGAGAGGGGGAGGAGGGAGGGAGGAGGAGGAAGAGGAGAGGAGGAGGAGGAGGGAGGGGAGGAGCAGGATCGTTGATCCAGCCGATCTCCTGGTCGATTGTGGCCACAGGTCGGTCGGTCGACCGCCGCACTCGATCGGGAGGCTGCCGCTCGCGCTCCCTGCTCTTATTCCTTATCTCCCTCCTCCTCCTCCTCCTCCCTCCTCCTCCTCCTCCCCTCCTCCTCCTCCTCCTCCTCCATCATCATCAGCATCATCATCAATCATCATCATCAATCATCATCATCATCATCCTCATCCTCATCCTCCTCCTCCTCCTCCTCCTCGTCCTCCTCCTCCTCCTCCTCCTCCTCCTCCTCCTCCTCTTCCTTCTCCTCCTCCTCCTCCTCCTCCTCCTCCTCTCTCCTTCTCCTCCTCCTCCTCCTCCGCGTCCTCCTCCTCCGCCTGCTTCTTCCCCCCCTCATCCAGGAACTGGGGGGGTGCTCCCTGCCTCCAACCTGCTGGTCTTTCCTCCTCACGCTCATCCTCTTCCTCCAACTCCACCTCGTCCTCCTCCTTCCTCCTCCTCCTCCTCCTCCTCCTCCTCCTCCTCCTCTTCCTCCTCCTCCTCCTCCTCCTCCTCCTCCTCCTCCTCCTCCTCCTCCTCCTGGAAGACGGCAAGGAAGCCCAGCCACGTCGCTGCGGCCCCCGACAGGCCAGTCGACACACGGGCATATGGCCCCCTTCATTCGGCACCCCACTCCAGACGCCAGCATTCGATCACTGCCCCCCACCAGCTTAGCAGCACGAGCTCCGACCTCCAGCAGCGGCACGAACGCGACCAATATCAGCTCCGTGGATACGACACAACACCGATACTGGCACCGACGGTAGCATTAACGCCTGCGCCTATGCCTTTCCCTGGTTCGACTTTGTTGCGTCTGGCTTGGACTGGTCGACGCCCAGACAGTTGCGACCACCGCCTACACGAGCTCCGACGCTAGCACCAACGCCGGCCCCAACGCTGGCCCCAACGTTCCAGGGTCTCCTCATCATGTGCACGTGATCGTGCACGGACGTGTTATCGCCGCCTCCCGCGCCTACCAGCCCGCCAATGTCAGCGTCGACCAGATCATGGACCTAGGCATCGTGCACCTTCGCGGCTCTCGCATCGACCCTCTCACTGATTCCGGCGCCGACTTGCTCTCTGACTTCTGCGCCGGGCGGAACGCCGACTCCCAGCCCGTCCAGCTCACCGACCCCGCCGGCGACCAGAGCGCCGACTCACACGTCGACCAGCACGCCGTCTCTCACGCTAGCTGGCTCACCGACCCCCGCGCCGGCAGGCTCGCCGACTCCCATGCCGGCCACCGTGGGTGTATTGCTTGTTGGTTCTACTTTGTTGCGTCATGTTTCTGGTGAGATGTTATGCTGGGGCGCTGACAATCAGCACTTTTTCCGCTGGAGCAAACACGATTATGGTTACCGCGCTGTCCCATGCTAAATGAGCTTCTGGAATTCTGGAATGGTGCTTGATCGCTTTACCTGGCACTCGGTGAGCCGCTGGATTTACTAAATGAGACTGCCACGGAGCCGGCGCTTCTCTTGGATACCTCTGTACGTGCTGGCGGGTTGATATTCTCTTTCACTGGGGCGACGTCTTGACGACGCCTGGAACTGCTTCGACACATGCCGTCGAACGTGGGCAACACGTGAGGGCGGCAGCGTGAGCGTCTCGGACGTTTCCTCCCTTCCCTTCCCTCTCCCGCCCTGCGACTGGTCGTGATCATCGTAATTCTGTTTTTGTATCGGGGCCCTGTGCCCAGTTCGGGGGGCCCGCCCACTCCTATGCCTCCGCCTCCCCATTTCGCGGGGGTGGACGTCTCGAGTGGCTTCGGCGCACCTCGGGCGACTTACATAATACCCACGTTTCAGCGCTTTCACTCTATGCCTTTAGTGTTTCCTTCGTCTTGCGTTGCCTTTCTAGGCTGTTTCTCCCCCTCGTCCTTTGCTTGGTCTTCTGCTCCGCTTTTCTATGCTTCTGCCTTTACTTTGTTAGGCCTGCACTGTCTCACGCGCTGCGCTGACTCGGGGCGCGCGCGTCTCTCGGCTCCTCCCTCCTGTGGCGCCTCCTGGTTTTGGCATGTGCTTTGTCTGTTCTGGCTGGGGCCAGGGTTCAAAGCGTCCGACGGTGGGTCGGCCAAATGGTGGTGGCGACGTTGCCCTCCTCTGTTTGCTCCCGCCCTGTTCTCTGCTCTCCCTCGTCCTCCTGCTTCTTCGTCTTTGCGTAGTTTCCCGCGCTAGCATTCCAGACGCTCCTCAATCGCACGTGGTGGCGCAGCCTTGCTGTGGTGATCCTCTATGCTTTTGACTCGCTGTGTCGTCTCTGCGTTGTGTGAAGGGAAAAAATCCTCCTCTTCCTTCTCCTCCTTCTCCTCCTTCTCCTCCTTCTCCGCCTCCTCCGCCTCCGCCTCCTCGTCCCCAGTCTCCCACCGTGCTAAACAAAAACACGCCTGTCACTTCTCGTTGCTTTCGATGTTCAAGGGCCGCGACGACGAGGACGACGACGACAACGACGACGACGAGGATGACGACGACGACGACGCCGCCGCCGACGACGACGAGGAGGATGACGTCGTCGACGACGACGACGACGACGACGACGACGATGACGACGACGACGACAGCGACAGCGACGATGACGACGGCGACGACAACGGCGACGACGACGACGACGACGACGACGACGGCGACGGCGACGCCGAGAGCTCCTCGGCACCGGCCTGCACGCGCGGCGCGGCCAGAACGTCCGCGCGCCGCCCCCTCGTGGGGGGCCCTTCGCCGCCGCCTCGCGGAGCGCCCAGCCCGGCGAGGAGCCACGAGCAGGGCACGCCCGGGGTGGGCTTCCTGGCCTGCGGCCCCTGCCCGGCGCCCGCGCGGTCCTCGTATCCACGCGGCCCCGCCCCGCGCCACTGCGTAGAGGCGTCGAGCGCCCACGGCGCTTGGGCCGCTGGGCCCCTGCTGCACAGTTGTGTGGCTGTGGCGTGCCCAGGTGGAGAATGCCACCTCTCCCTGATATGAGCGAGCTCCTGGAACCAAATGTGCACAGGACGCCAGCCCCTTGCCAGGGGGCACCCAACCGGGCAGGGGCTCCCAGTGGTCTGGATCTCAGGTGGCCTCCAGGCCTTGGGTCTTCGGGCGCTGCCCCTGCGTTTGCCTCCTAGCTCCTGGTCGAGACAACAGTTCCCGAAGCTCTAAAGTTGTGGCATGCCGACTCCTCCGTGCATGTTGTGATTTCCCGTACAGCCGTTGAGTCGATGTTTGGACCAGCGCCGCTTCCAGGCAGGGCCGGAGGGGGGGGGAGGCGCATCCAGCACGCGTGAGCGGCCCGCTCTGGAGGTTCCTGGATTGTTGTTGTTGCTGCTGCTGCTGGTGTTGTTGTTGTTGCTGTTGTTGTTGTTGGTGGTGTTGTTGTTGTTGCTAAGGGACTGTCCTGCCGATCGGCGCGGGCCCTCTCCACCCCCTCCCGCCCTCCCCCCCTAGACCAGGTGTTGGCTGCTTTGGGCGACTGGTCAGGAACCCCCCCGGTCTGCGTGCGCGCCTGCCGAAAACGGATCATCGGCGGAGCATCGGCCCAGACCCGGGCTTACCCCTAGGTCTTATGGACTCCTAATAAAAGGCCTTCTCGCCTCGGGAGGCTCACCGGCTGCTGCGCCTCGCAGGGGGCGTCCTAGGGGAGACAGGATGGCCCCGAGCGGCCGCCAGAGGCCCGAGCTGTGCCCGAAAGGCCAGACTTGCGACGACATGTCTGTTTCCATCCATCCTGGCGGTGTTTACCAGCCTCGAACTTAATTCTCCTTTCTAAAAACAGAATAGACTCTACCCCCCCCCCAGAGTTATCGCCCCCCCTCTCGGATGTGGAAATCATTGATGATTATGACCACATGTCCATCCTAAATATGAAATCACAATGTCCCAGGCCAACCGGTATCCCCCCCCCTGAGGTTCCCTTGTAAAAAACATTATGCGGTGACATATTTTGTTCTAACATAACACTTGTTCACTAATCCCTTGCAAAAAATGGGGCGAAGTGCAGACGGAAGGATTTCGCAATCGAGCTTCCAAACAACATACAAAAACAAAGGGTTTCGCAACACTGATTTGCTAAAAAAGCTTCCGCGCGAGCTCTTGCGAAATCTTAAGAAAACCTCAGGTTTTTCAAGATTTTCACCAAATGATATTAGACGGGCTTCGCGCGCACATGTCGAAATCTGTCGAACGCCCTTGCGCGTGTGCCGTCGCGAGAATCCTCTGCAAAAAATGGGACGAAGTGCAGACGCGCGCGTCGTCGCGCGCGTATGCCGAAAACCTTCAAAACCCATCGGTTTCGGAAGGATTTCAAAATCGTGTGTCCAAAAAACCTACAAAAACACAAGGTTTCGCAACACGGATTTTCAACAAAAGCGTGCGCGCGCGCTCTTGCGTCGTCGTCGAGGTCGTCGTCGTCGCCGTCCTCCCTCCTCCCGCGTCGTCGCCGTCGTCGCCTACGTCGTCCTCTGTCTTTCCTCGTAATAGTCGTCGTCGTCCTCTTTGGCGTCGTGGTCGTTTCCGTCGTCGTTGTCGCCGTGGTCGTCCTTCCTCATCCTCCCTCGTCGTCGTCGTCGTCCGTCGTCGGCGTCTCGTCGTCGTCTCTCCTATTTCGTCGCCGTCGTCGTCGTCGTCGTTGTCGTCGTCGTCTTCTCCTCCCTCGTCGTTGTCGTCGTCGGCGTCGCCGTCCTTCCTCCTTCTTCGTCGCTCGTGTCGTCGCCGTCCTCCCTCCTCCCTCGTCGTTGTCGTCGTTGTCGTCGTTGTCGCCGTCGTCGCCGTCGTCGTCCTTCCTCCTCCTTCGTCGTCGTCTTCGTTGGCGTCGTCGTCTTCGTCGGCGTCGGCGTCGTTGTCGTCGTCGAAGTCGTCGGAGACGTCGTCGGTGTCGTCGTAGTCGTTGTCGTCGGTGTCGTCGTAGTCGGTCTTCAGAGGTTTTGCAAACCAAGTTGCGGGTGGGTGGGTGGGATGTTTGCAAGAGCGTGGGATGTGCCAAATCATGGGTAAAAATCATCCCTATCCCTAAGATTCACACGCCAAAAGGCGATGACAACCTTAGGGATGCGCCCTGAAAAACTAAGGGAATCCCTAAGATTGGCATTGTGATGAGGCGATGCCCAGCTTAGGGATAGGGACATGTTCCAGGCTGGTAAGGTGTTGCTCGATGTCTGCCTCGGGGGCCCGCCATCGTGCCCCTGGACCAGAGAGATCCGGGACGAAAGCCCACCCCCAGGGGAGGGGTCGGGACCTCTTGGGGCCGCGCATGGAAAAGTCGCCTCGCCGGATGTCTGGGACGCTGGCCACGCAGTGTCCGCCGAGAGCTAGCGGCCCCGCTCGGAGCAAGTTTTCTGGCAACAGTGCTTGCATCGCGATTGGCACCAGAGGCGAGCAGGCACGCTCGGAGTGAGCTTCCTGGCGAGCGTCTTGGCAGCAGCGCTCGCGGCGCGATGTCCGCCAGAGACAAGCGGGCACGCTCGGAGTGAGCTTCCTGGCGAGCTCGGCAGCAGCGGTGGCCACCGCGAGATGCACCGGAGGCGAGCAGCAACTCTGAGTGAGCTTCGTGTCAGCGCTGGCCACGCGAGGTGTACAGGAAGCGAGCGGGCAGCTTGGAGTGAGCTTCCCGGCAGCAGCGTTGGCCACGCGAGCGGGCGGGCACCCACGAGAGGCTCAGAGGAGGGAGTTAGGGGAGTCGCTTGCCCAGGGTGCTTGCGGTGACGAAGTTGGCAAGCAGGCAAGAAGAGCCATCTGGGCAAGCCTGGCGAGGGAAGGAACGTCTGGGTGGAGAAATTGGCCCCTGGCAAGGAGTCGAGAGTCCCGTTGCTGGCGCACCGAAACAAACAAAACATATGAGGGTTGGGTGTCCCCCCCGCAGCTATCGAAATCATTTGGAGTACTTACAAGGCGTGACCAAAAAATGTTGTCCTTCCTCCTCCCTTGCTCGCTATCCCTTCCCTCCTCTCTCCTCGTCCCTATCCCTCCTGTTCAGTTATCCCTTCTCTCTCTCTCTCTCTTTCCCTCTTGTTGTTTCTCTCTCTCTCTCTCTTTCTTTCTACCTCGCTCGCTCTCTCTCTCTCTCTCTCTCTCTATCTGCCTCTCTCTCTCTCTCTCTCTCCCTCTCTTCACCAATCGCCAGTTGAACTCGGATATCCACGAGCGTGATCGGTGTTCGAGATATCCAAGATCGCATTCCCAAGGGATTCTAGCGATGGGAGGCACTGGCTCTAAGGACCCGTGCCCCCTACCCACGTGAGGCTTTCCAGGAAGTTCATCCCCTTCGAGAGTCGGAGTTGTCATCTCTTCCTCGGCGGAAGGGCGGCAGAAGCCGGCGGAAGTAAACCGACGCTGCCTTCGCTGGTGGAAGGCCGGCGGAAGCCAGCAGAAGTAAAAGATGTGCTCCCAAGAGATGACAACATTTCGTGCTCCCTGCTCCCCTCCGTCCAGCCCCAGAGGTTCTGGGTTTCCGGAGTCGGCCACCTCCTCCTGGGGCCTGCAGATGTTTCCGAGGGTGCCCAGAGGCCTCGAGGGACAAGGCGTCCTTCAAAGGCCCGCCCCCGCCAGAGTTGCCAAGAGTTGAGAACGAGCTTTCAAGCTCTGCCATGCTCCTACTCATCCTCCTCTTCGTCCTCCTCCTCCTTCTGCGCCTCCGCCTCCTCCTTGTCCTCCTCCTCTTCCTCCATTCCGTAGCCATTTTGGCTCAAGTCACTCTGGCCAAAGAAGCAGGGGCGCTCGTCAGACCTCCAGAGGGATCGGAGTAGGAGCAGCCTCACCAGCGCGTCTCGGGGCAATGGCGCTCCGTTTAGCCGCCCTCTGGCTGTCCCTCGCCGCTGCCCGCGCGGGCGACCCGGAGACCTGCCCCGCGGGGCGGGACTGCGCTCGTGGAGAGCAGGATGATGCAGGCCTGCTCCAAAGCAATGCAAAGTTTGCGGCGGCGACGCTCCACCAGCACGCCAGGTTGGTTGACGTGCCCACCAACAGCGACGAGTGCAAGCTGGTGAAGAACATCAACACCGGCCTGCCGATCGTCTACGACCCCAGTTGCCCTGGCCTGTGCTGCTTCGAGAACACGCCCTGCCGGTACTGCAACGAGGGCTGCTATGGCCAGGGCGCGTGCTTGGCCCCGACGCCGTCGCCAGTGCCGACGCCGGCGCCGACGCTGGCGCCGACGCCAGCGCCGACGTCCTTCGACTGCATGGCGGTCCCGAACATCAACACTGGCCTACCCATCGTGTACGACCCCAGCTGCCCCGGAATGTGCTGCTTCGAGAACACGCCGTGCCGGTACTGCAACGAGGGCTGCTATGGCCAGGGCGCGTGCTCGGCCCCGACGCCGACGACTGTGCCGACGCCGGCGCCGACGCCAGCGCCGACGTCCTTCGACTGCATGGCGGTTCCCAACATCAACACCGGCCTGCCGATCGTCTACGACCCCAGCTGCCCCGGACTGTGCTGCTTCGAGAACACGCCGTGCCGGTACTGCAACGAGGGCTGCTATGGCCAGGGCGCGTGCTTGGCCCCGACGCCGACCCCAGTGCCGACGCCAGCGCCGACGCCAGCGCCGACGTCCTTCGACTGCATGGCGGTTCCCAACATCAACACTGGCCTGCCGATCGTCTACGACCCCAGCTGCCCTGGCCCGTGCTGCTTCGAGAACACGCCGTGCCGGTACTGCAACGAGGGCTGCTATGGCCTGAGCGCGCGCTTAGCCCCGACGCCGACGCCAGCGCGCCTGGTCCAGGTTGACGTGCCCACCAACAGCGACGAGTGCAAGCTGGTGAAGAACATCAACACCGGCCCTGCCGATCGTCTACGACCCCAGCTGCCCCGGCCTGTGCTGCTTCGAGAACACGCCGTGCCGGTACTGCAACGAGGGCTGCCATGGCCAGGGCGCGTGCTCGGCCCCGACGCCGACGACTGTGCCGACGCCGGCGCCGACGCCAGCGCCGACGTCTTTCGACTGCATGGCGGTTCCCAACATCAACACCGCCCTGCCGATCGTCTACGACCCCAGCTGCCCCGGCCTGTGCTGCTTCGAGAACACGCCGTGCCGGTACTGCAACGAGGGCTGCTATGGCCAGGGCGCGTGCTCGGCCCCGACGCCGACGACTGTGCCGACGCCGGCGCCGACGCCAGCGCCGACGTCCTTCGACTGCATGGCGGTTCCCAACATCAACACCGGCCTGCCGATCGTCTACGACCCCAGCTGCCCCGGCCTGTGCTGCTTCGAGAACACGCCGTGCCGGTACTGCAACGAGGGCTGCTATGGCCAGGGCGCGTGCTCGGCCCCGACGCCGACGACTGTGCCGACGCCGGCGCCGACGCCAGCGCCGACGTCCTTCGACTGCATGGCGGTTCCCAACATCAACACCGCCCTGCCGATCGTGTACGACCCCAGCTGCCCCGGACTGTGCTGCTTCGAGAACACGCCGTGCCGGTACTGCAACGAGGGCTGCTATGGCCAGGGCGCGTGCCAGCCTGCGGCGTAGGCGAAGAGCGCAGATCCGAAGATTTCAGAACGTGTCATGGGCGGAACGTGTATGATGTCTTGCTGCTGATGATGATGAGGAGGAGGAGGAAACATGCTTGTAGCTGCCTCCATACCTGCACGCAGATGGCAGCGGTTAGGCTGTGCCTCGGCCGCGGCACTCGAAGCAGAGCGTACGTGCGGATAGCTTCGCGTACCCCGATCTCGTCGTTCCTCCCCTTCCTCGCCCTGCTCCTCGTCTGCTCTTCGCCCCCCCCCCCCCCCCCCCTTCCTTCCTCCTGACCTCCCCTCTTTGCTCCTTCGCCTCGCTCTGCTTCCCTTGCCTGGCGCACTCATCTTGTTTTTCTGTCCAGCTTCTGCTGAAGCCAGTGCGAAGAGGCGTCATGGCAGCCCAGCGGTTCGCAGTCGTGGCCATCATTGCGAAGAGCCATGCGTTGCATTCCGACTTGCAGGGAGGCGCCATGCACCACAGTTTTGTAGCTTGTGGCGTGCGGTTTCGGCTGCCATACTCTGAGTGTTCTTGCGATGCTTGAACTGCGGGTCAAGCTTCCAACCTGAGATATACCTCGGGTTCCTCTGTTTGCACGGGGTGTGGGCAGTCGGCAGGAGTGCCGCTCTCGACGGTGGCTGTCTTGCCCTGTCCCACCGCCGACGTGTGCAGGCGATCATGGCCAAAGGGAAGTTCAGCGCAGTCGCCTTTTTCCGTCGCCTCCCTCATCGTCCTCTCGCTCTCCGAGTCTCCTGCTCTCCACTGCTCTTCCTCTCTCCGCGTTCTCGTTTTAGAGCTTTTACGCTGGGCTGCCGAAGCCGTTGATCGCCTGGCACGTTAGGCCCTGTGGCCGACAAGCTCGATAGAGCGCGAATTCGGGAGGGTTGTTCATGCCATCTCCTCCTCGTCCTCCATTCCTTCTCTTTAATAATAACTCCTCTGTCGCACCCCGAGGCCAGTCGGAAGGGCGGGCTGGGCGTTTCGCTTGAGACCTCCGTGCCATGTATGCTCCTGAAGCTTCAACGTGGGCAACAGTTTCACACTTGAAGGGCGGGTGGTTTTCAAAATGTGGCTATCGCCTTAGCGCTACCCACATTCGTTCAAAAGCTTCAGTTTCACGGATTGAGGGCGGGCGGTTTTCAACATGTGGTTGTCGCTTTAGCGCCGCGCACATTCGTTTAACAATATCGGCAAGGGCTTCACGGATTGAGGGCGGGGCATGTTCAAAATGTGTTTATCGTTTCAGCGCCGTGCGCGCTCGCTTGAAACATTGGTAAGGGTTTCACGGGTTGAGGGCGGTTCAGATTCTCAATGTGGTTCTCGCCTTCGCGCCGCTCACGCACGTTTAAAACATTGGCAAGAGTTTCACGGATTCCCATGGTTAACGTACCAGAAGTGGCGTTTTACACGGATTCCAGAATGTCAGGGCGCAACAGTTTCGTTCGTTCGCGTTAGTAGAGGGAACGGCGATATGGCACGAATCGGGATCGTCAAAACACAACAGTCATGTTGATTCGTCGCGCCCAAGAATGGTGTTTAGGTACGTTCCAGGATTTTCAAGCGGTTGTCTCCCAACGAGGCACTTCCTTCAGTGGAAATGAGCCCTTGTAGGGGCCTATGAAGAGGAAGCTTGGAGGGAGGGTTGAATCCAACATCGTTGATGAGTCTTGGGTCTACATTGGTCTTCCTTCTCCTTCTCCTCCTCCGTGTCCTCCTCTTCATCCTCCTCTTCCTCCTCCCCTTGCCCTCCTCATCCCCCTCTTGCCTTACCCTCTCCCTCTTTCGAGGCGTTGGTTGATGTTGCCGCCCCCGCGCGCGGTCTACTCCAAGAGGCACCCCCTGGAGCTCCTGGCGGGGCGGGGGTGGGGCAGCGGGGCAGCGGGAGGTGGGCAGGAGGAAGGGGGCCTCGGGGCAGCGGGAGGGGTGGGGGGTCCTGTCGAGGCAACGCAAACATGGGTCCAGGAGCGCGGATTGGCGACGGGTCCCGCTTCCACAACACATCGGCACGCTCCGTCGCCAGGTCAGATCAGGCGGAACTGGCGTCATTTTTCGGGGGGGGGGCTTCCCCCGATGCGTGGATCTGGCGCCCGCGCGCCAGATTCACGGGTCCGTGGTCCATGCCAGCGTGTGAGCGATTATGGAAGGGTGGGCGGGGGGAGGGCAGTGGGGTGGGAGAGCGGCCGCGGGGCGTGGAGAGGGGGGCAGGGGTGCACGGAGCGGGCGGGAGGGGGGGGGCGGGAGGGGCAAACGGGGGGGCGAGAGAGGGGGAGCAGCAGGAGGAGGGCCAGCACGCGTCACGAAAGGACTTTCTCTCCCCGAGGTCGCCGCCACCGACGCGAGCCAGGGCCGCCCCAGGGGCACCAACAAAGATCGGACCCGCGAGGGCCCCAGGAGACCCTTGGGAACAGCCGAGATGGTACGTCGTCGGTGCCCCGAGGGGGAAACGGAGGAGAAGGGGAGGAGGAGGAGGAGGAGGAGGAGGAGGAGGAGGAGGAGGAGGAGGAGGGCTGGCCTCGCTCCGTGCCGCCGGGCGCGGGCGCGGGCACCTGCAGGGCGAGAGATACCCGTGGAGCCACGGGGTCGTCACTGCGATCCAGAGATCTGTGCAGGGATGCTTGCCAGCGTGGGCCCAGCACAGCGGCTCCTTGCAGTGCATGCGGCGCAATCTGGGTGGTGCAGTCCATGCGGTGCAGTCCACGGGGTGAAATCCACGGTGCCCTCGCGGCTTGAGATCTGGCGCGCCAGACGCCGCCGAGAGGTTTGGTCTGAGGCTCTGGTCGCCAGGGCCGCCGCGAGGGTTCAAAGTTCGTCGCGCTTCGCGGTCTGGGCGGTTTCAGGGCGAGGCGAGAGTCCTTCGTCCTGTTCCGGGAGGGAGACACGACAGGGCGAAGGTAGTTGTCCCAGGAGGTCCGCGCAGGGTTCGTGGGTCGGCGCGCGCCCGCAACGTTGTGAGGGGGCTGCCCAAGAGAGATCCGCGCAGTCCTCCGAAGGTGTGCGTGTGCGTCGCCGTTTGTCCATCGAGTGGGGCAGTCGGGCATCGCGAGGGGGGAGGGCAGAGACGACCCAGGAAGTTTAGCATTGGGGAGGCGGGTCCTGCGGGAAACGGGCCCTGGACCTTGGCGCCTTCCCCAGGACGAGTTTTTCATCCTGAGTCGTTTTCTGGGTCCCAGGGCCCGTGGAGGGCCCCGAGAGCCCGAACACGGCGAATAACTCCAGGACTCGTGTCCCTCAGGACCCGCTTCCCCCATGGCGAGAAGTTCTTGGGGGACTCCTGCATGCCGGACCGTGCTGGCACATGGCAGATGGCAGGCCCCAGTAGCGGGCCAAGGGGGGGGGGCTGAGGTGAATTGCCAGCCCCAGGGCATGGTGCCCGATGCGCCCACAGCAGCTCGAAGGTGCGGGAGAGAAAAAAGAGGGGACAACAACAACAACAACAACAACAACAACAACCGACCAACCAACCAACCAACCAACCAACCAACCAACCAAACAAACAAACAAACAAACAAACAAACAAAAAAGGGAACACCTGGAGCGCGGCGGTGCTCGCCATCTCGAGCGTCGAGGAAGGGGGGGGCGCTAGATGGGGGGCAGCGAGGTGCGCCCCTGCTTCTTAGAAGGCGCGGGCCTTATCTATAGATGTAAGGCTGGCGCCTGCTAAGAAGCAGCCTCCTTCCAAGAAGCCCTCCCCCCTCCCTCCACCCCCTTGTGCGCGCCGCCGAGGAACCGCTCCAGGCGCCCGCCCGAGGCCCGAAGACCAGGTGGAGGGAGGGCTAGGACCTTTGGCACAGGAGGAGGAGGAGGAGGTGGAGGAGACGGAGTGGGGGGGGAGTGTCTCGTGGGTGAAAAACATCGGCCACGCGCAGCTGGGGGTATGAGGAGAGGGGAAGGCTTCTTAGAAGAACCCTGCTTCTTAGAAGGCGCGGGCCTCGTCTATAGATGGAAGGGGCCGGCGCCTTCTAAGAAACCGCCTCCTTCTGAGAAGCCTTCCCCCCTCCCCTTACCCCCTTGTGCACGCCGCCAATCGTGGGCGAAAACATATCCGTATCCGCGGGACCGCGCCCTGGAATCCAGACCGCGAGGGCGCGGCTGCAGAAATGTTCGCCGCTCTTGAGTATCTGGGTGTCCCACGTGGAGGGGAAGAGGGAGGGGAGCAGAGAAGCATGCAAGGTTCTCGCAAGGGACTCTCCTGTCTCAGCGATGCTTTCTCACCCCTTCCTCATTTCCACCACAGGGCCGCTCGCAGTTGCACTGAGCCTTGCGCTCCAGCTACTCACGATGTCGTCCATGGTCGGATAGGAGTTGGGAAGGGGCGCCGAGGATGACGAGCGCTACCTTGCCGGGGGCGATCTGGAGACTTGGGAGTGCATGCAAGAGGCAGGGGATATCATGTACGTGCCGAACCACTGGGCACATGCCACCATCAACATCGAGGAGTGCTGGGGTCGCTCCGTATACCTTCTGTGCCCGTCCATAGCACAGTCGCATCTAATGCTTACAGTCTGGATGTATATACAGTTGTACATGTACATCTGTACAAGTGCATCTTACACCTATGTATATGTGCGCGTGTACATATAGTGTTTCGACCAGCGCAGGGTCGAATGGATCAGCAACCAGATGTTGAATTATTTCGCCACGGAGCGGGTTCAGCCTGGGAAGCGCCGTTTGCATATATGTTTGTGCACGTGCCAACGCTTTCCTGTAATTGGTATCGGCATAGTTCCATCGACGTGTATTCTATTTGCTGATTCATGGCGTTGGGTCATCCGTACTTCTGCTGTGGCAGGCCGGGTGCAGGGGGAGAGGCATCCAGCCAAGTCCCAGAGAGAAGTTGCAGAAGCTCGATTCGTGTGCATGACGACTCCCCTGTCGAGGAGTCCATTGGAGTGGCGTACGAGTTTGGCATCAACGGCAAGACGATGCACAGCTTCGACGTGAAATGATCCAGCGCGGGCCGCCGGAGAAGGGCAGGCACGCGAGCGAGCAGCCGGCCTGGGAAGGGCTTCGGGTTGCGCACACAGCCCACCCAGGTAGTCCCGACTGGCCTCCACAAGCCCTCCGAGTAGTCCCAGCTGGCTTCCACACGCCCCCCGAGTAGCCCTGGGCGGTCTCAACACCCCAAGCTTATGGGGCGCGGAGCGCCCCAAGGGCACCGCCGGAGCCGGCGCCAGGGTGCTGAGACCGCCCCAGACTACTCGGAGGGCCTGCTGAGGCCAGTTGGGGAATACTCTGGTGGCCTGTTGAGGCCAGCCGGGGCTACCTGGGTGGGCTGCCCGTGCGCCACCCGAAGCCTTCCCAGGATGGCCTTCCCTCGCCGCCGCCTCTGCGTCCTCACCGCAGGGCTGGGCTCGAATTTGCCGCGCGCCCGAGCCAGCCAACGCGGGACGTAGTCGCGCCACGAATTCGACGAGGCTTAGAGCCCGGCGCCGGCATCGTAGGCCAGCGCAGAAAGAGAATGAGCCGGAATGGAGGCAGGGGGACGCAGGCCTCCTCAATGGGGTCCGAGTGGATGGGGTCGGAGGATCGCGCCGCATCGCTGATGCATCGGCCATGCGATTCGATGTGGAGGCCGATGCTCTCCACGCCAACGTCGCCGATGCATCGCCGACGTCGCGGACGCATCGCCGATGCATCAGCGATGCATCGGCGATGCGGCGCGATCCTCGATCCCATCCACTCGGAACCCTTTTGGAAGGCCTGCAGGCATGAAGGCAAGGGTCGTCGAGGGAGCGTGTCTCGGAGTTTTCTCGAATGGAACGGATTGTATGTACGGGCCTTATATGTTTGTGTACACTACATGCATGCATGCATGCATGCATGCATACATACATACGATACCAGAGAAAACATGTGTTTCGGGCTATGGGGCTATAGGGTTACAAGGCTATGGGGCCATAGGGTTATGGGGCTGTAGGGCTACAGGGCTGTAGGGCTATAGGGCGGTGGGGCTATAGGGATATAAGGCTATAAGGTTACAAGGCTATAGGGATATATAGGGCTATATGGGGCTATATAGGGCTATAGAGCTATAGGGATATAGGGCTATAGGGCTATAAGGCTCTAAGGCTATAGGGCTATAGGGCTACAGGGCTACCGGGCACCCGGGCACCCGGGCACCTGGGCACCTGGGCACCCGGGCACCCGGGCACCCGGGCACCCGGGCACCCGGGCCCCCCGGCACCCGGGCACTTGGGCACTTGGGCACCCGGGCACCCGCGGAAATCGGCGGCGCACCTCACCCAGGCACCTGGGCACCCAGGCGTGCCGCCGAAATCGTCGCCGCACCTCACCTAACCATATGAATCCGCTAGGACCCCTACAGAGGCAAGCTCTGATTGGGGGAACATCTACATACATACATATATACATACATACATACATACATACATACATACATACCTATACGACCACCCTTCGGGTGATAAGGAGGTTCGGGGGGGGAGGAACCAACGTCTCACTCGATCGGTCTCACTATCGATCTCCCTATCGATCTCACTATCGGTCTCGCTCGATCGATCTCACTCGATCGATCTCACAATCGATCTCACTCGATATGTCTCATTCGATCGATCTCACAATTGATCGGACTATCGATCTCACAATCGATCTCACAACCGATCTCGCAATCGATCTCACATTCGGTCTCACTATCGATAGCACTATCGATATCACAATCGAACTCACAATCAACGTCATCATCGTCATCCTCATCACCATCATGATCATCATCAACAGCATCATCATCATCGGGACACCGTTATCATCATCATCAACATCATCATCATCAACGTCATCATCAGCATCACCAACATCATCATCATCATCATCGGGACACCATCATCATCACCATCATCATCCCATCATCATCATCATCACCATCATCATCATCAACAGCATCATCATGGGGACACAGTCATCGTCATCATCATCAGCAGCATCATCATCATCACCATCATCATCTTCATCATCGGGACACCATCACGATCACCATTGTTATCATCATCAACATCATAATCAACAACATCATCATCATCATCATCATCATCATCATCGGGACACCATCATCACAGTCATCATCTCATCATCATCATCGACAACATCATCATCATCATCATCATCATCATCCTCATCGGGGCACCATCCTCATCATTACCAACAACATCATCATCATCATCATCATCATTTTCATCATCATCATCGGGACACCATCATCATCACCATCATCATCATCATCAGCATCACCATCATAATAATCATCATCATCATCGGGACACCATCATCATCAACATCATAATCATCATCAGCATCATCATCATCATCACCATCGTCATCTGGACAATCATTATCAACATCATAATCATCATCATCATCATCATCATCATCATCATCATCATCATCATCATCATCATCATCATCATCATTGGGACACCATCATCGTCATCATCATCAACATAATCATCATGATCAGCATCGTCCTCATCATCGGGACACCATCATCATCATCATCCTCATCGACATCATCATCCACATCATCATCATCATCATCATCATCATCATCTTGATCGAAACACCATCATCATCATCATCTCATCATCATCATAATCATAATAATCATCATCATCAACAACAACATCAACATCATCATCACCAACATCAACATCATCATCATCACCATCATCACCTTCATCATCACCATCATCATCATCACCATCATCGGGACACCGACGGGACACCGACGGGACACCGACGGGACACCGGCGGGACACCAGCGGGACACCGCGGGCCACCGGCCGCCCGGAAGGGAGTCATTTGGTCCGGCCGCGCCTCAGCCACACGGGACACCAGCGGGACACCTGCGGGACACCGCGGGCCCCCGGCCGCCCGGAAGGGAGTCATTTGGTCCGGCCGCGCCTCAGCCACAGGAGACTTTCTCTCGCCCGCCCACGCAGCTTCGCCTCGCCCGCACGGCACGCACGAACACGAAACCGAAATCGATTTCCCGGTAGGGGGGCTCTCCGTTCCACTTCGATCTCACCCCCTCACCTCCGACATACATACATACATACATACATACATACATGCATGCATGCATGCATGCATGCATGCATACACATACATACATGCATGCATGCATGCATACACATACATACATGCATACATGCATGCATGCATGCATGCATGCATGCATACATGCATGCATGCATGCATACATACATGCATACATACAGACAGGCAGGCAGACAGACAGACATACATGCATACATACATATCCACATAGATACATTAATTCCGACATACAGACACACATGCATACATACACATACATACATACAGACATGCATGCACACATACATACATACATGCATACATACATACATACATACAGACAGACATACATACATGCACATATATATATATATATACATATATATATGCATACATACATGCGTGCATACATAGATAGATGGATGCTTATATGCATACACGCATACATGCATGCATACATATACACAATTACATCTATATATATATATATATATACATACATACAAATATATATATCTATATATATATATATATATATATATATATATCGAAGACGCCTACGGCGAATCACCGCCGCCCCCTGCCTCTTTGGAAGCGTCTATGTGGCCGAACGTTGAGGCCAGACCTGCCAAGCTATCGGACCATGTGTGTTCCCCGAATCGGTTTGGAAAGCCTTCGGGAAACACGTGGGCATCTTGAAGGTCATCTTGGCCGTCTGGAGGCAAGTTTGAGCCTTTCGGACCTTCTTGGATCGTGGAGGCCATCTTGAGCGTCTCCGAGGCCTCTTGGGCTTGGGCAGTCTTGGGGGCCTCTTTGGGCCGCCTTGGGCGATCTTTGGGGGCACTTGGGCCGTCTCGGGCCGTCGGAAGGCCGAAAAAAAACAAATGCCACACTCCTTCAAAAACGCATGAGAAATCAATGAGTTTGGCCTTTTCGGGCCTCCCTAGAGGCCCTCTTGGAGGCCTCGTGGGCCGTCCTGGGCCATCTGAAGGCCATCTTCGGCCGTCTTGGTGGGCTCCTGGTCCGTCTGCCGCCGTCGGAAACCGTTTGTGGGGTCTCTCTGTGCCGACTTGGGGCCCTCTTGGAATGCTCCAGGGCCGTCTTGGAGGCCGTCTTGAGCGTCTGCAATGCCTCCTGGGCCGTCTTGGGGGCCTCTTGGGGCCGTCTTGGGGGCCTCTTGGGCCGTTCTGGGGCCATCTTCGAGGCCTCTTGGGCGATCTGTGGGCGATCTGTGGGGGCTCTTGGGCCGTCTCGGGCCGTCAGAAGGCCGAAAAGAAACAAATGTCAAAATCAATCAAAAAAACAAGGGAACGTATGTGTTTTTGGCCTTTTCTAGCCTTCTGGAGGCCCTCTTGGAAGCCTCTGGGGCCGTCTTGGGCCAGCTTCGAGCCAACTTCGGCCATCTTGGTGGGTTCCTGCTGACGCCGTCGGGAGCCTTCTTGGGGGCCTCTCTGGGCCGACTTGGAGCCCTCTTGGGACGCTTCGGGGCCGTCTTAGGGGCCATCTTGGGCGTCTTGGAGGCCTCTTGGCCCGTCTTGGGGTCCTCTTGGAGCCGTCTTGGGGGCCTCTTGGGCCGTCATGGGGCCATCTTGGAGGCCTCTTGGGCGATCTTGGGGCGACCTTGGGGGCCTCTTGGGCCGTCTCGGGCCGTCGGAAGGCCGAAAAGGCGCAAATACCAAAATCCTTCAAAAACCTAAGGAAAAGCAATGATTTTGGCCTCTTCGGGCCTTACTGGAGGACCTCTTGGAGGCCTCTTGGGCCGTCTTGGAGGCCTCTTGGGAGCCTCTTGGTCCGTTTTGGGCCATCTTGAGGCCATCTTAGGCCGTCTTCGGTGCATCTTGGGCCGTCTTGGAGGCATCGTGGGGCCATCTTAGCCGTCTTGGAGGCCATCTTGGAGCCGTCTGGAACAGAAAAACCCTTTGCAACCACCTCCAGGCAATCTTTCGGCAGTCTTTCAGGTGGCCGGCTGGACGGGCCGAAGCCCCAGGGGGAGTTCTTTTAGAAAAAGAACCAAACCAAAACCGAAAGGGTCTAGCACGCCAGGCATCCTTGCGATGAATCGACAGGGGGCGGCGGATATCGAAGACGCCTACGGCGAATCACCGCCGCCCCCTGCCTTTTTGGAAGCGCCTATGTGGCCGAACGTTGAGGCCAGACCTGCCAAGCTATCGGACCACGTGTTCCCCGAATCGGTTTGGAAAGCCTTCGGGGAACACGTGGGCATCTTGAAGGTCATCTTGGCCGTCTTGGAGGCCTCTTGGGCAAGCTTTGGGCGATCTTTGGGGCTTTTTGGGCCGTCTCGGGCCAGCTTCGAGCCAACTTCGGCCATCTTGGTGGGTTCCTG